TCCTACTTTTCATCTTACAGGGCATTTGTCTTGCTAATGGGGTGCTCTTCAAAAAAACCGAGTGTGGGATCTCTCTTCCATTTTCCAGAGGCCCTCTTTCACATTGTCCTGCTCAGCAGCTCTGTGACTTCTCTACCACCATGCTCGAATGCGCAACAGTGTTAGAGCTCAAAGGGGATGAGTGTGGGCCTTGCTAAAACTTCAGGGAAAAGGTGCATAGGGGCAAGGAAAACCTCTTAATGCCATTAGTCTGCAGTATCCCAAGGAAGACATGGTTGAATCAGACAGCCTCCTCAACTGGGGTTGGTTCACAGCTACCAGGAAAGGCAAGAGCAGCACATGGTAGTGCTGTTTAAAACCAGTAGCTTCTGCAGTACAGACCATGTGAAATCCTGGGATGAATGTCTGCACATTCTGGGGTGTCTCCAGACGGGAAGGGCTGCTACTCCCCTGCACCAGCCTCCCGGCCCTGCCATCATGTTTGGAGCATCTAATAGCAGCCTTCTAGTAACTACAAGGAGTTAACAAGAAGATGGAATCGGGCTTCTCACAGTGGTGCATGGCAGGAGGATGAGAGACAGCAAGCACAAATTGAAAAGAGATTTTGACTGGGCGTAAGTAAACACTTCTTCCACTTGAGGACGGTCAAGCAGTGGAAGAGGTTGTCTGCGCAGTCCCCATCCTTATAGGTTTTCAAGACCAGGCTGGATAAAACCCTGAATAACCTGGTCTGGCTTTTTGCTGACCCTGCTTGGAGCAGGAGGGTGGATTATAGATTTCTGGAGGTCTCTTGAGCTTGAATTATCCTGTTCTATGAAAATGAAGCAGACTTCTGTCATCTCTGGGACACAGAACTGTTACCTGACCAACAAGCTGTGATTTCCTTCCCTTGGGTTGTATGGGCAGCTACACACCAAGCAATTGTGAAGCACAGCAGCCTATCCCTTCAACTGTGGAGCTGATTTCAGTGACTCGTTCGATCAAGATGCCTTCCAAATTGACTCAAGACTGGAAATGAAGATCAATGAGAAAGTGGAAAAAGTACTATTTGCCAAAACTGTGTTCCAGTGGCTGCAGGTACATGAGTTCAGACAGCCAGAATAAGTATGACTCTGGGGAAGATTAATCATCTCTGCATTTAGTGGGGGAAGGCAAGCACTCAGCTCAAGAATAGCCATCTATAGACAGGCAGTGCAGCGTACAGAAACATCTGATCTAGTGGAAGGTGTCCCTGCACATGGCAGGGGGGTTGGAACTAGATGATCTTTGAGGTCCCTTCCAACTCGAACCGTTCTATGATGCTATGATCTAGCAGCACGTCAAAGACACTAGAAAAATAATGAGGAAATTGTGAAGCACTTAGCACAGAAGAGTGTTTATCATGCAGCTCGTTTTAGATAAAAATACTGGACTGGAAAGCGTATAAAAGTGCATCTGCAAAACTTCTGTGATGTGTAAGCACTGAAAAGCAGCACAACTTTTCTCTATATCAGTGTTAAATACAATGCAGCCTTTTTGTTCACAGCCTTGACATTACACTAACAAAGACTGACATGGTTGTAATAGTATGTAACGTGAACTGCTTGCCGTGGAAGCTAAGTGCTGTTTAAAAGCAAGAGTAATTAATCATTGTAAGGGATGCTCATTGTAATAGACAATGGTATTTACAGTTATCCCCTAATGTGAAACCAATTACTTCATCTTCCAGCCAATTAACTGTTCTTGTACTTCTCTTCTCCTGCATTTAAGACCTGTTACTAACTCCTCTTTTCTTGTTACACAGGTACCTGTATCACATAATCAACTCTTTTTTTTTTTGGTCAGCTAAATAAACTGAGTCCTAAGTTTTGCTGTGCAGTATTTTCTCCAACCTCTATGCATTTGAAATCCTCTCCAATAAAACAAACAGACCTATTATAATATGGAAAGCAGAACTATTATTCCAATGCCTGTCTCACAGTCATGCAAATTAGTGCCTTGGATGTATCTGTTTATTCAGCCAGCAATTATATTCCCTCTTGCTCTGCCTCTGCAGAACCGTCATGTTCAGCTGCTTGTCCACTCCCATGCCTGAATCTTTCCAGCATCCCTTTAAAAACCCCAATTCTGTCTCCAGAACTCATATTCTCTGCTCCTAGATTCCTGTCAACACCCTGTACTTGGATGTACCTGTCTGCTCAGGCAGCCTGGCGTCCCCAGGAGTCTGACTCACCTGCAGATCTACTGAGTGGTCATTTCATACATAGCTCCCCAGGGCTAGTGGGAATTGTGAGTACTCGCACAGGACACGAGTCCCTCTGAAATGCCCACAGCATCTGAGGATTGTCTATGTTAAACCACTTAGAAGGTGTATGTCTCCCATTGCCCACACTGTTACTGACTTAAAATGGCTGCCATGTAAAACAAAGCTGAAAAAATTTTTGCAAAAAGTCTCACAAATGTACTAAAGCCTCTGCCAAATTTGTTATTACAAAGAATTAAATACTTTCTCTTTGACCTCTTTGCCCCAAGCTGGAAGAGACTCATAAGGATCATCAAGTCCAACTCCCTGCTCCTCACAGGACTACCTATAACTAAACCATACGACTAAGAGCATTGTCCAGACACTCCTTGAACTCTGACAGGGTTGGTGCTGTGACCGCTTCCATTGACTGACCACCCTCTCAGTGAAGAACATTTTCCTAATGTCCAGTCTGAACTTCCCCTGACACAGCTTCATTCTGTTGCAACATCCATGGCTTGCTCCGCTTTCTCTCTGTGGATGGTATAGCAGGATTAACCCATCCGAGCTATAGCTCTATGGAGTTGTTTAGTGTAACAGCTGCCGTGACAACAGGTTTGGTATGGTGTGGTGTATGTGGTGACTAACACAGTTATTTTCTACAACCCTTGAATAAAATGCAGTGCAGAAGAGTAGAAGCATGTTGAAAACACAGGCCCCAAACCCCTGTCCAAGCGAGCACAGGATTTCATTGCTGAAAGTGATTGTAAGGATTACCCATGTTGCTGCTGCTCCTATGCATAGTCATATTGTGTTGCTTTTGCTGCTTTGAGTAAACTATTACCATGACTAGGAAAGGGTGTAGGTGTAGTGCCAAGCATTCATATATGGCTGTAATTTATACATGCAAACACATGCATTTGAACTGATGGTCTCTTGGTTAACCCATACATCCACCTTAGCTAAAGGAATTGCCTGGACTGGTATTTCTTCCCTGTCTCTCCCTTTTTAGTTGACTGGTGTTTTCGTAACCTAGTCTGTAACGTGGACGCAGCAAACAGGTAACAGTGGCAGCACTTCGTCTGTGTGCCTCTGGCTTTCTGGCATTTCCTCAGAATCTACACATTTTATAGGCCACACAAGCAAGCAGAAACTTCATCAGATAGCCCTCAGTACTGTGGGAGAAAAGTGGGCCAGACCTGCAAATCTACAGAGCAGACAATGGATTTCAGGAGTTGTTTTGTATTCTCAATTTACTGCAATAGACTCACTGTCCTGTTTCATTTGCAGCAGGCAAGCAGTCATGAACGACTTCTGCTTTTCTTGCTTTACTGTACTACCTCTAGCTCTCTGCATGTCTATCAGCATCAGCTGCTTTGTTTCTAGACCACATCCACCTCTTCTTAATTTTTCCTGTCTTGGATTTCTCCCCACTTCTAATTTCAGCTTTCAATGGATGCACGCTCCGAGCCAGATGCACCACAGTGACGGAATCAGAGGGCATTATGTCTTTTCTGGAAGATGACAGTTAACTTTTGCTTTATATGTTTTTTACCTCAAGACAACTCTACTTTGGATTTCTGCTCTGTGGAAGCCAAATCTTTATAACCCAGCAAGTGTCACAGCTGGGCTGCATTGCTTTTGCCAGTCCTGGGTGCAGTACAATCAGCATCTCCAGGAACTGTAAATGTCCTGTAAATGGGGCTGACTGCCCATGATTTGCCAGCTTCCAGAAACAATTCCATGTTTGGGTGTGACACCCATCTATAGCAAAACCCCCTTGGAGCACACGGGGTGGTGCATACTCAGCAGCCAGGCTGATGACAGGGCAGGGGGGTGATGGTGCCCCTTTTGCTATTCAGCTCTTGTGCACACAACATGGCACCCCCAGCAGCTGGTGCTCCACAGGGAATAAAATAAATAATAAAATAATTTAAAAGGTCCTGCTTTTACTGCTCTATATTTTCTCCCTACTTATTTTCCCTGAATTTTCAGTATTAATGCATATTTTCAATTATGTATTTTCAAAATTAATTGCATATTTTCTAAACAGTAAAATGTATAAAACTGACATTAAACCTATAGCAAGAATATTAATGCAACATTTTCTAAACTCCTATGACAAAGGAAGCAAAGGTGGCCACTGACTGTTTTCTAGCTTGTGCTCTACGGCCCAGCTCTTCTCGAGTGAACAAATTCCTTCTCCCTGGAACAGGGGGGAGGACAGATTTCAGAGAATGTTACCAAGTAAACCTTTAATAGGAAAGTGAACTTTTCTAAAAGCCCCCACTCAGACTCTCTCAAAGCTTCAGATTTCTGCACAAGATACTGCATTTCCAGAACAGCCTTGAAGAGATGCACTCCTCTCTCTTCCCTTTCTTTCCCACACCTTGATCTCCTAGTTTCAGATCTTTACACACAGCAGACAATTCACCATTGTGCTGCTTGCTGGTCCAGCATAACTTATGCTGTTCCACTGGCATGCATTACAGTAGGGACTAATGTCATGCTAGAAATACTAGGAGTGACAGAGCCTTCACAGAAGTCTGTCCGTTTCTATGCTGTCGTGTAAAACATTACCACTCGTTTATCTGCCTCATCTCCCTTTTCCTTTCTGGAGGGGATTCACTCCTGCCAGCGGTTGTTACTCTGTTTAGGGTATGACTTGCATTCACATCTGCCCTTTATTAAAGGAACGATCCAGAAATGTTTGGTGCCAGTGAAGCTGCTTGTGCCCTGGTATTGTCAGCATTACCTGCCAGGCAGGGCTGTCCCATACCAGAACCGATGTCTCCTTCTTGCTTTTGTTCTGCTGTAGGACTGTGATACTCCCATCTGCATGTCCCTCTCCAGCCATGTTGGTAGCGTGACACTGATAGACGCCCTGATCTTCCTTCATTAGTTGGTCGATTTGGCAAAACCATCACAAAAAATATTTTATTATTAACATGCACATACATTCTGGAGAGCACCCTGGAACCACTCTCACAATTAAGAACATCTGAAGGTTTCTAATTTGCCATTTGTTCAAAATAGGCACAAAATACTGCCCCTCTATACAGTTATGGGTGCGATCTGCTCTGTGTGACATGTCCGCCTGAAAGGTCCTCCATGGTCCTTCTCTTACTGCTTTCACCACATAAACTCTGTCACTTCTCACTACCACCAGGACCTTTGGCTGCTGCCTATCCAAGACTATGAACTTACCAAAACCCACCCTGTGCCCCCGTGCTGTGAAGGTCCTCCCTGAACTTGAGCGGCCATGTTCGCTCTGCCTCCAGGCAGCTCCTCCAGGAGTTCGACTCCTTTGTGTGACTCTCAGACCTGCATATTTTGACAGGAGTGCGAAGATGTTAGAGGACATCTGTGAAATCCATTAGAAGCATTTACTCATGATGACATAATTCTCTCTGACCACACTATTACTGACATGCTCGGACAGGCAGGCAGAGGAGCTGCATGCAGTGCAGGGAGAAGCAGGGTGATGCTCACTGGACACAGTGCTCTCTGCAGCTCCAGGGAAAGACATTGGTGAAATACACATCTTTCTGCATACACCCAGCCAGCGCCAAGACTCTCTGATCCCCTTCTTGCTTATGGCCCCTGAATCTGAGCCCTATTCGCCCCTAAGAACATCTGAGCTCACTTAGTCTCTCAGTGTAGCTCCTCTGTCAATAGTGAAGAGCAGAATCCTTCTGTCATAGGTACTGGGCTTTGGATACTTCTGAGCACTGATCAATACGCTCATTGTTGAGTGTCCTCCTGTGCTGCAGCACTGACCCCTACAGACCCAGTTCTCGAGGTATCTAAAGGGCTGAGGAAATCTCCTTTTCTTTGGAGTTTCAAAGCTTTTAGGTGAATTTTGTTGTGCAGTGTGGCTCTGAGAGGCCTCAGGCTGATGTCATCACAGTGCAACACACTTTCAGACACAGAGATAAAACTGCATAGCAAACCAGTAGCACCAAGTAGGCTCTGTTTACTAGACGTATGGGTAGTTGTCTGCTGGGCATACATCACAGTAGTGGTATTGACTGCTAAGACCATTCTCTTAATTTGCAGTGCTTGACAAGGCACTCTGACATTGTTCATTATCTTAAATTACTGTGAGAAGGTGCTTGGATTCCTGAGACCCTTTGGGGAGATAAGGACTAGACCCCCCACCACCAGTTGTGCACGGATGGGCACTGCAGGCTGCAGCAGTGTTGGAAGAAACTGTCCCTACATTGCTTTCAGTAAGTACACAGATGATGGATCGAGTTACCTGAAATGCAGTACAGCAGCACAGAATGTGAGCATGGGAAGGCAGAGCTATGTCTGCTGTTAGACACTGAAAGCGGCCCTCCTGCACGAGATTCCCAACATACCTTTCTCCAAGTGATGACAGGAGTGGGCACTGCCTTCACTTCACAGGACAGGTACACCTGGGCCCCAGTGACATTGTGAACTTTCTTTGGTGACACAATGATCACAGGAGCTGGAAGAAAATAAACACTTTCCTGGAGGTGATGTGGCCACCTGGCATGGCCAGCATTCCCTGTGAGCTCTGCCATATGGACTAGCCAAACTGCCTCCGTGCAGGCAGGGAAGGTCTGCAATCCGTGCCAGCCAGAAATAGCTCGGGCCTTCAGCTTTCCTGCCAGGGACGCTCACTTTTCCTGTATAAAAGAGTGTACTGATTGCTGTTGTGCTCTGCGGATGGCATTTCTCCCGCTCTACCCAGCTTGTAGCGATGGGCGCAGTGCGGGCAGGCGGAACAGGGCACTAACTTGACATATGCATCTTACTGCAGGAGGGGAGCTGTAAATCTCGGAGGATACAGCATGTTGGCCACACCGTAGTACTGGCTCAATGCTGCAGGCTGCTTTGTCAGAAAACATGTAAATACCCCCACAACCAAGAACGTCATAGAATGAGAACCTGGGCCCTGCTGCAGCTGCAGCTGAAGGAAGGCTGGATATGAAAGATAAGATTCTCCAGGGAGAATGAGGCCACAGACTGGGACTCTTGGGTTGCAGTCTGGACTTACATTAGACCAAAAGCTTCCTAAGGTCCTTACTCTATGCTGACTGATGTGTCTGTCTGTCTTTCCCTCCTACTGTAAGCCCAGTGCCACATGCCTTTCATGAGGCCAGTGAGCTGGTGGATAAGGACATTTGAAAAACACAACGCAAGCAGAGAATTTGTGTGGCATCAAGCCCATGTTTCTAGCACCGTGTGAGGGAGCAGCACAGGTGGTAGCCGCCAGGCATGAAGTCAAGGTCCCAGGCAGACATTGCCAGGATTGAGGAGCAGGCCCATGCAAACCTCATGAGGTTCAATGAGGCCAAGTGCAAAGTCCTGCACCTGGGTCGGGGCAATCTCCGGTATCAATACAGGCTGGGGGATGAAGGGATTGAAATGAGCCCTGCAGAGAAGGACTTGGGGATACCGGGAGACAAAAAATTGGACATGAGCCGGCAATGTGCTCTCGCAGCCCAGAAAGCCAACTGTATCCTGCACTGCATCAAAACAAACATGGCCAGCAGGTCAAGGGGGGTGATTCTGCCTCTCTACTCCACCCTCATAAGACCCCACCGGGAGTACGGCATCCAGCTCTGGTGTCCCCAGCACAAGAAAGACATGGACCCCTGCATCTGCAGAGGTTCCTCCTCCACCTCTCCATAGAGGTGCAGATGGGCTCCTGGTAAGCTCAACCACATGGAGGATGACTCTAGCATTTCATGGCCACTCCCATCTTTTCTAAGGTGAGCTTTTCCTGTGCAAGTGAGCTCTGTATTTTTGGCAGAAAATGCCAGGGCCCTGAGAGCACTAGTAGGTCGTAATCGCCCTGAGCAGCCTCACCTAGGGCCTCCACCCTGTGCCCATGGGCTCAAAAGTCCATTTGAACTCAGCCTTGTGCCGTCCATCCCGAGCCATGTTGGAGAAGTGCTGCTTTCCAGCTGGGCCACAGCCACAGCCATGCCTGCGCCTGGCTGTGGACCCTGTGACTGTCAGTCTGACTTCCCATCCCGACCTCGGGTGTGCGTGCTGTCACCACGTACCTGCCTGGCAATCATGGGATGCTACCTTGACACGTTGACTGACTTTTGAGCTTGACCTCAGACCTGCCTCATGACCACCCGCTTGCCTGGTGTCCTCAGCTCCTGGCTGAACCTCACTACAGGGATCTGCCTGGTTTGTGCCCTGCCGGTCCCACAGGATGTGCCCTGCTCACCCCACTGCTTTATCCCCTTGGTTTCCCATCCCTCAGGAGCCCTCACCACCCCGACTGAACGTGTTTTTGCAAAACAAACAAACCAGTCCACCCAGCAAAGCTTCTCTCCAAATGGTGAGTTTGTACACTTATCAGTAAACCTGTAGCCTCCCCAGATGCTGCAGGGTGGTGGGAAGCTCTCATTCTGCACAGGCAGCTGCTTGCTTTCCCGAAGCAGGCGCATACCTCTGGGTGGGGCTGGTGCAGAGCAAGGACCATGTGCAATGGTTTTTTGTGGTTGTTACTAAGCTGTTTTTTCGGCTAAGGTGAGCACTTCTTGCACACAGTGACTCCTGAAGCCTTGAGAAGTCTGTGGCAACCTACCACGAGGTTAACAAAGGCACTGGACAACCACGGCACATGGGAAACATGCATCCTACTTGAACCATGTCAATAACCTCCAGAATGCTCCTGGGAGAAGGCAGCTGATTTGCAGCTGTTGAGAGGGGAGAAGCTGCAGAGAGCTTCTGGTGTCCTTGTCTCCCTGCATTATTGTCTTTTTTGCACTAGCAGTATCTACATCGACCTTTACTAATGATGGTGTCTTTCCTCACAAGGCACCCTCCTGCCAAATGAAGCCAGTTTTCCAGAAGTGTGTCCCACCTCCACTAAGAAAGGTCACTTGCAAGCAGGCATCCCGAACACCTCTCCTCTGGCTCCTCTTCACACAAGCTGTCCCCTTCTAACAGCAGTGAGTGCCGGGGGAGAGCCCAGCGACCCCCTGGCACCACGGTGAGGCTTTCCCAGCTTGCCTGGCATATGCATCTCCATCCTCTGTTTTACATGAGGCATCCCACAGTGCCAACCTGGCATCTGATCCCACTTACGTGCTGTGCGCAGCACATGGATGCAGGCAGAAGAGCGTGTGGTAGGCATCTTCCCAGCTGGGAAAGGAAATGTTCACCCCCACCATGCCCTTTCTCAGCTGGTGCAGGACTCATCACTCCTTGATAAAACAAAAGGAAAGGCGAAACAGTCCATCTGTTACAAGGTTCTGCACCTGTAACATTACCTTTGTCAAATAAGTATTTGCAGTAATGCCACGTCATGGAGTCTGTAAGAAGATGAAGTGTCCTACACAGAACATGCAGTAAGTCCCTGTGGATTCAAAGATTGCTACCTGCTAGGTCTGTTCAATTTCCAAGGGCTTTGATGATCTAATAACCTAATGATTCACATCTGCTTTTAGATACTCTTATACTCTGATGTAAATTGAAGCCTTCTGTGAGAAAAACACACCTTATGACAGAGGCTGTGAAGCTGAAGCAAAGGTATTAGGGGAATTTTTTTCTGGCTTTCAAGTTAATTGTCAGTCTGTTTGATACCTGCGAATATAGATAAGAAGCTATCAATTCAAGTTTTTAGAATCATTGCACAACAGATGTAACCAAACGAAAGTAAATCCTTGTGAATAGTTAGGACAGTTGTAAGATAAGAAGCTCCTGAATAATCCCACTTTAGACAGCTCAGCCTTGGAAGAGCAGATGTGCAGAACCATAAAGATAAGAAAGCTGCAAGATGCCCATAAGACCAGAACACACCAACCTTGAAGGACATAGTATATGTGATCTCAGAACTGAGTTTGTGCAGAAGTAAAGGTCAGTCAGTGAACACAGTGAAGAAGACTTCGAGCCTTCATCTGAAGACCCCAAAGACCACCCAAAGACCACCACGGAAGACGACTGTGCATGCGGATTGGACATTTACATATGTTAATAAGTTTCAGAAAAACCTCATGTTTATGTAAATGGATTCTTGGAAATCCTATGAATATGTATGATTTCATAGTATATAATTACTGAAAGTTTACCAAGTCAGAGGAGCGCTCATGGTGGAATGATCCCCCGTGCTGCCCGGCGCCGCAATAAAGAATGCCTGCTTTCTAAAACTCAAAAATTAAGTTTTAGAGAGTGAATTATTTTGCCGCTTTCCAGTGACAGTTTTGGCGACCCAGATGGGACCCTGCTCTTGAACATCGACAGATCCGAGGGATCATAGGACCTCCGGCCGGCACCAAGGGATTCTCGGGGAGAACTTCTGATGCCTGGACTGAAGAGCTCTGAGCAAGGACCATCGATAAGGTAAAGGCATTCTTTCAGTGTTATTTTCTGTTGCCTGCCCGTCAGTTGTGGCGAAAGCTGCGCAGGGTTGGGCTGTATCCCTGGGGCAAAGGGAAAGTACCCTTTGATCAAAATTGAAGGATAGAGGCTCAGGAGTTTGTCCGATCTGCGGATTTGAATGCTGAATACAGTCGCGACTTTAATTGGG